CTAAAGGGCAAGGAGGTAGAGTTCTATCTAAAAAAGACTAAGGTCGCAGATGGTAAATAAATCCCCTCCTAGCCTCCTTCGCAGGTCATGTAATAAAGCTATTCTGAGAAACAGAAATTTAGGTCAGTAATCACTGAGCATGTGCACATCATACGGCTGGTAACACAGAGATGCCTAAGCATTATCCCCCTCAGCTACAAGCCTGAGCTCTGAAATACAGCACAGTTCACAGACACAGATTTCCTAATGCAAAGAGCAGTTCTGGTTAAGTGAAGCTAGACCTCCGTCTATCTCATAAGACAACAATAAGGAACAAATGGAATGTGTGAAGACCAGTGCTAAAATATTAAAGTGAGCTAAGCATGATGGCACACACTTGTAATCCCAGCCCTGAAAAGGTGAGGAAGAGGATTGCAAATTCAAGGCTGCCCTGGGCAACATAGCAAATGTAAAGATAGCCAAAGCTACGTAGTGAGAGCTAATCTCAAAAAAAAAAAAGGAAACAAACAAACAAAAAAAGCTGTCCACGAAGCACAATAGTAGAGCACATTCCTAGCGTCCAGAAGGCCCTGGATTCAATTCCTAGCTCTGCAATAAAAGAAAATGCTACAACATGAGCTGAGGATAGAGCTCAGTGGTAAAGCCCCGGGTCTGGTCCTCAGCTTTTCAAAAGTCCAACCAACCAACCAACGAACCAACCAAGATCCTTACATTGCTCGCAAATATGTGCACCAGTGAAATAAGGGTCCTTGGCATGAAAATCTGCTAACTCTCTTCAAAGCTAAGAGGTCAAGTTTACACAAAATTTAAGTTTACAGTGCTTAGCTTTCACTTGCTAAGATCTTACTACCCTTTCTTTAAGAACAAGAGAGCCAGGCACAGCAGCACACACCTGTAATCTCCGAACAGGGAGGTAAAGACAGAGAGATCAGGAGTTTGAGACCAGCATGGGCTACATGAGACCCCAACTCATAAAATCAAAAATAACTAATTCTTAAGTGAAGGCAGAAAGACATGACTGTCCAAAGACTAAGACTATGGCAATGATTGGTACTGCAAAACTTGTTTTAAATGTCCTTAGAACAGGACACTATAAGCTGGGCACAGCAGCATTCACCTGCAGTCCTAGGTCCTAGGAGTTCACTGCAGCCTGGACAACATTAAAAAAAAAAAAAAAAATGTTTAAAGAAGGGAAGCAGGGCTGGAGAGATGATGGATCAGCAGCTAAGAGCCCTTTGAGCAGATCACACTGTCTCCCAACTCCAGAAGACCCAGAGACCTCTTCCAGACCCACAGGCACCTGCTGGCCTGCGTGCATATGCACACATACAGATAAATAAAAACAAATCTTAAAGAAGTCCCCTAAGACTGAAGAGAAGAGGTATGGAGGTAGATAAAGGAAAAGAAAGGAAAGAATAGAACACCGATATGGCTTTAAGATGCTGGAGAACTAAAAGTAAGTGTTTAGCCAGGAGATCAAGGTCATATTTATAAGTTGAGGCCAACTGAGGCTCCAGAAGATTCTGTCCATTTATTCCTCACCCCAAAATATTTTCCATGAAGTAGAACTAAAGACAAGAAACAAAAAGAAAACAAAATATGTTTATAAAAGTGGGGGGAAAATCTGTTTTCCAGGGGCTACCTCCCACAAATTATAGACAAACAACTTTCAAATATTTACATGAAGGGACCTGGTTTTGTATTTCTTCAAAAACTCATTTGGCTTTCTCCCCAGCTCTTCCTATTAAACAGAATATTTGTGCTAGGTCAAAGTACCAACAAGCCAGCAAAGGGAAAGTATCTGATCTAGTATTTCTTATCATCAAACTTTTCCTCTCCACAACCTAGAGTTCAATTTTTTCCCCTCTTAACAAGAACTCATATCACAGTGAACATCACTGAACACAATCCTCTACAAACCACACAGACCTGTTGACTTAAGATTTTTCTACTATCTCAAGAACTAAGTGCCTGTTACACACAGTTGGAAAAGACACTACTCATCCTGGTGGAGTGGCACACACCTGTGACCCCAGCACTCGGGAGACAGAGGCAGGCGGATCTCTGTGAGTTCAAAGCCAGCCTGGTTTACACAGTGAGTCCAGCACAGCCAAGGCTTCACAGAGAAACTCCATCTCAAAAAAAGGAAAAAAAACCAAACCCAAAAACAAAACACAGAGAGAGAGAGGAGCATTTCTGTCCCATTCTCAAGTAGCTCAGAGCCTGGAGAGAGAACCAGGCTCATCAGCAACACTTGCCCCATAAATAGCTGCCACAGTGTGGAAGGGCACAAGCCACGCTGCCTAAAACCTCACGGTGGAAGGAAGGCTTCAGGGGACAGCTAAACATCAAGAACTAGAGCACATTCTAGACAAAAAGAACAGAGTAAGTTTCATGAATAAGACTTAGAGGCAAACAAACAAACAAACAAACAAACTAGCATTATGCAGGGTCCAGGGTTGCTGTGCACCATACTTTATTCAACAACTATTTGCCAAGTCCTACCATACATGAAACACTATCAAGCACTGTTACTCCTTTGTAACCCACTGCTCTCCATGTGAACGTATCACATCCTAACTTGTGCAAGGCAATGTGTGTTGTAAGACTAAACTAGCAGGATCTACCCCGCAGGTCCATGTGTACTTCAGGAGTCCACAAATTTACACGTACAGTCTCCTACTATCCCAGCACTTGGAAGGTGACGGCTGGAAGACCAGGAGTTCAGTTGTCCTTGGCTACACAGAGTTCAAGTCCAGGCTGAGCTTTGTGAGACCTAGTCTCCAAAGTGCTAGAGAATGGTTCTGTGCACTGTGTATTCATATGCTGGTCCCTGTATGCAGAGATCTGGCTGCAGTCTGGCCATTGGCATTGCAAAGCATCTCCTGTCTCAGTGTTGTATAAAGACTGTTCTCCATCATTAACAAAGAGCTGAACAGCCTATAGTTAGGCAGAAGAGTTAGGGCGGGCCTTATGATCCCAAGGAGTCCAAGATGGAAAGCCGACAGAAGGCTGCCACCATGGAGCAGCCAGGGCGAGACTAAGATGGCAGGTAACGGGCCATGGGGCTGGGAAGTAGGCCAGCTCAGATGGGTTACCATAGCTCAGTTATCTGCCCAGCTACAGTGCTTGAAGCTTGTGTCCGTGTTTGGGAGCTACAGCGGGCATAGAAAGCCCTTAATTTCACAGCAAAGAGTGGGTGGGGCACTAGCAAGAGGGCCAAGCAGTTAACACTTTTGTACAAGACTGAGGTCGGTCAAAGTTGACTCCCTAGAGCCCACATTACGCTAGAGGGAGAGAACTGACTTCAGGGAGTTGTCCTCTGACCTCTACCCAGACTGTAGCAGCTATGTGCCGCAATAACAACAAATGAAATTTAAAAAAAAATTTTTTAAAGAAAATGAAGAGTATAGTATCAAATGTCATTCAACAACATTATTGAATTCCTACCAGCTTTTATTTTTATTCCTACTCACAATTAGATAGATTCAGTGTCATGTTTCTTGAAGGTTTTCAGTGACAAAAGAAATCTTAGGATCCACTGCCCTCAGATAACAACAGGGAAGAACAGAATCTGAACAGAAAAGACATTCTCATTCTTATTTTCCTTTTTCTTGTTTACCTGTTCACATGCTGTATGTGTATATGCTTCTATGTGTGTACATAGAAGCTCATGGTTGATTATCAGGATTCTTCCTCAAAGGGCCTCCACCTCATTCTATTCTTTGAAGCAGGGTCTCTATCCCTGTCAAGCCTAGAGCTCACTGATAAGGCTGGTCTGGTTAGCCAGCCTGCTCTGGGAACCTTCTGTCCACTATTTCCTGAAGCTGAGATTACAGATAAGTCACCACATCCACCCAGCACCTCTGTGGGTTCTCGAAATTCAAACTGGTCCCCTTGCTTCCATGCTTTAAAGACCGAGCTTTTTCCAGTCTTCCTTTCTACTTTTGCACTTAGTGTTCAATAATTTTTTTATACGCCTGACAGTCTTCATCACAAGCATAAAAGTATCTGCAGCAGCACAGCCTGTCAGGAACATTCATTGCATGTATGTGTATGAGTGTAGGACAGAGATGACACCTGGTGTCTTCCCTAACCCTCTCAATCTTACATTTTGAGACAGGGCCCTCACTGAGCCTAAAAAACATCAACTTGCAGGCCGATGGTGCACACCTTTAATACCAGCGCTCGGGAGTCAAAGGCACTGGATCTGAGTTCAAGGACAGCTTGGTCTACAGTGCAAGTTCCAGGACAGCCAGGGAAACCCTACCTCAAAAAACAACAACAACAACAAAAAAGCCATCAACTTGCTAGACTGGCTAGCCAATTATCTCAGGGGATCTGCCCATTTCCTCCCATGGTGCTAGGGTTACAATCCACACCAAGCCAGCTTTTCCCCTGGGTGTGAAGTAGCTGAACTCAAGCCCTCATGCTTATACAGCCGGCCCTTTACCCGTTGAGCCACCGTCCCAGTCCTCAAACAAACACTTAAACCTAAAAGCATATACATTCTCATTCAAAGTGCTTCATGAAAGCTACCTGTCAGCATAGATCAAGGGCCATAAAACTGTACCTACCCTTTGGAAACAATGTGTTGTTTTTAATTTAGTTTAGTTTTTAAAAGTAGGGTCTCACTATACATCCTTGGCTAGCCTGGATCTCTCAAATGTAGACCAGGGACCTCAAACTCATAAAACTCTGCCTGTCTCTGCCTCCTTAGCACTGGGATTAAAGGTGTGTGCTTCCACACTTGTTGGGTTGTTTGTTTTGAGGTAGGGTATGCCCCATCACATCTGGCTTATTAAGTGCTAGAAATGGAACTCAGGATGACCTACATGCTAGGCAAGCACTCTACCAGCTGACCCACAGCAGCCTGTGATTACTGTGGTGTGTGTCTGCACGGTGAATGGAGTGGGGGCTGCCTGTGCAGACGTCATAGGTCCACTCTGGAGTCAGTCTCTCCTTTCAGCTTTTACACGGGCTCCTGGGATAGCACAGACCGCCATGCTTGCATGTCAAGAGCTCTTTACCAGCGAAGTCATCTTAACAGACAGTGCTGTTGTTTGAGAAAGAATCTTACTATGTAGTGCTGGCTTGCCTAGAACTCACCCTGTGAGTCCCAGGGACTGAACCGAACTCAGGTCACCAGGCTCAGTGGCAAGTAGCCTCACAGAAAAGAAGCATCTCACCATCCATCCATCCTCTTTCTTGGAATCTGTTTTTCCCCCTTAAACTTTTTTTTTTTTTTTTGGGGGGGGGGGGGAGGTTTCCAGATAGGGTTTCTCTGTAGCCTTGGCTGTCCTGGACTTGCTTTGTAGACCAGGCTGACCTCCAGCTCAGAGATCCACCTGCCTCTGCCTCCCTGAGTGCTGGGATTACAGGCCTGCACTACTGTGCCTGGCTTTCCCTTAAACTCTTAATTCAGTAAAACTTCACCGGGTTAAAATCCCACTTGAAAAGCCCTCCACCTATTTTTCTTGTTTTTGAAACAAGATCTCTCACTGAACCTGGAGTCCACCCACGCTAGCTGGCCTTGCCAACCCTCCGCTTCTGCCTCCCCAGCAGCAGGCTGGCAGGGGCTAGCCAGCAATTCAGATGGGTGCTGGGGATGAAAACAAGTGCTTGCATGCTAAGCACTTTTCTCAAATGAGCCATCTCCCCAGCCACAGTCAGGTTTGTTGTTTTGTTTTAATTAGATTTATTCATTTTGTGTGTGTTTTATTTGCACGAATGTATGTAAGTGCACCACATGCATTCCTGCTGCTTTCTAAGGTCAGAAGAGGCCCCAGGAGCCGCTAGAGCTGGAGTTCTAGATGGCTGTAAGCCACCATGCGGGTGCTGGAAATCAAACCTGGGTCCTCTGCAAGAGCAACAAGTGCTCTTAACATGTGAGCCATCTCTCGAGGCCAAGATAGGGTCTCATATGGTACCCAATGCCGACCTTCTCCAACTCCCTATTCAGTTAGTCTTGAACTCTTGACCCTCCTACCTCCGCTTTCCAAGTGCTGTGATTACAGGTGTGTGTTGCCATGCTCAGCTTTGCCCTGTCTTAAAACAAGGAATATACACTGTATATGACAAGGTCTGTAACTGTATTTCATACTTTGAAGCCTTAAGGAAGTGTTATTTATTCAGAAGGTACCCAAGATGTGCTCTTGGGACTCAATAACCTTAGAAACATTGCTAGTTGGGCATGGCTACACATGCCTTAATCCTAGCACATGGAAGACAAGCAGGTGGCACTGAGTCTGTGTGCCAGCCAAGTCTATACTGTGAGCTCTAGGAAGACGGGGGGGGGGGGGGGGGGGGGGGGGGGGGAGGGGGGGGGGGGG